CATTAAAATGAAAAAAAATTAATTCCTTATAATTATGTAGTTGTTATTAATATTATTATATCTTTAAGCTACTTATATATGTTATCATCCTTTTTTTTTTTCTTTCTTAAGATCACATTTTTTTTTCTTTAAATATGCATGCTAATATGCATGCACTAACTGTTTTTGCAAATATATTGTTATTTAATTTTATCATATCATCTAATTCAAGACTTCATGTTTTTCTCACCTATGCATAAAAAACCATATCAACAAAGCTTTACTAATTGATAAAGTTTTTTGGCAAACTAAAAAAGGGAAACTTAAGCAAAAACGACTTTTATTTTAACATTTACATGTGCTTACAATATAAAATATACAGCATTATTACCCATAATACTTTGATCTTTGTTTATCTACTCTTCTTTTCGGTCAAAGAACAGCATATCTATTGTTTCCATGAACTAAAAATCTATGATACCTTTCCAATTCTGCTACCAAAAACTCAGTATAATCCCCTGAAGAAAGTTTTACCCTGAAGCAGGTACAAGCTCACTCATTAGGATACAATAGCGTGTATTTCGAAACCGAATCAACTTGTATGCATATTTGCAACCGACTTCAATTTCTGGTTAACTAACTCGAGAAACAATGCAGGAAAAGGATCACCACTTCGTACAGGACCAGCTTCAATTGGCTTGCATCATCAGATTCAACTGCTAGGAAACAGGATAAATAGGTCAGATGTGTATGCATATGATACATAGAACCAGTCTTCGAATTGATGAAAACAGTAACAGGAATATTCTCAAGTTGTCATTGATAAGGTGATGTGGGTGGTGTACTGTGTGCTTCATTCAACTTACTGCACGTTGGTGGAGTTTTGCTATGTTGTGGCGATTTCAGGATTTGAATGAGCCCTTCAAGGATACGCTATTCGTGTGCTGTCTATCACTTATCAGTAACATACGGCGTGTGTCATGCTAGATAAACGACAACGCTGGGAGGTTGCGTGCATGGCTTCTCACTTGGCTTGAGTGGGCAGCTGAGAAAACTGTGGGATCAGCAACTTCCTGGTCTCTGTCCTTTATCAAGTAAAGATGCTGCTGCTGTGAGCATGTGTGTAGTCAGTTTGTCGACTGAAGTTTGCATGCCAGTTGGGGTGTTTTGTTTTTCTTTCCTTCATTATCTGTCATGGACGATTGTTACTTTTTCTCAAGCCAATGACTCATGCACAGAGAAACGATATGACATCAGCAACGTACTGGATATGAAGTAAAAACTAAGTCAAGCATATTGTGTAAATAGACCTGGTGCGAAACAAAAGCTAGGTAGATCTGATCGCCTTTCGCACTGCTTTTTAACCCTCGGGGAAAGGTCACAATGTGCACACTGTACCGAGTCTGCATAGCTGTCCACGTTGTTGTGTCGCTTTCTCACGAATGCTGAAACTTCAGGTGGAAGATCTTCATCTACTTCACTCTCTCGTTGTTTTTTCTGAAATTAGACATCCATGGAATTTCCTATCTTTTCAGACTGTACCGCTGTAGTACTGACACCCGAGGTTGGCCAACATGGAGTAGGAATAGTTAGTTGGTTGATAGAATTGATACAATCCCCTCTCTTCGCAGACCCAAGTGCGTGGAAATAAGTTAGTCTTCATTGTCAATCTCGATTAAACTGAACATTCAATGGGTGTGACTTTAGTCGCACGTCCTCCAGATCAGTGAAGATTCGGATCTCCTCGCCTCTTTTGTGCCCAAGTTTGAAACCGAGAATCTGTCATCTTCGCGTCAGGGTTTCAGTGGGTAATGCACGGGAAATCACTTGACAGGAATTCAGGCCTCGAAGGTCTATCACTCTTTTCATAACTCTCACTACATGCTGCC